CAAGCACAAGGGCCCGAGTTTGATCCCTGGTACCAAAAACAAAAGTAATAAATATAAACATCCATAAAATTTTATATTTTACTTGGTATCATCTTAGCTTTTCACGGTATGATCATAATCCTTTTAAACTATTCAAGATCAGTAAATTTACCTTTTATACTTGTAATTAACACAAAACCTTTCTTCCTACCAATCAGGCGAGTAGCGAGTGAACACACGCTAGCTGTAAATGGTTGAAGTGCCCCATAAAAGATGGGCTCTTTTCTGCCTTGTCTGTCACTGGAGTCTCACTTCCTCTCTGGAGGGTGCTCCTGGGATTTTACACATAAACACACTCGTATGTGCATATACATCTCTACATGCTTTTTGATTTGTGCAGAAGGCACATAATCTTTAACTTTTGTATTCTAGCCTATCAATTTTTTTTTTTTTTAATAAACCTGTTGATTGAACCCTGACCCACTAAGCTATATTCTCAGCCCCCTTTTTTTTTTCTTTTGAGACAGTCTTGAAATATCTAAATGTCCCAGGCTGGACTTGAACTTGTACTTCTTCTGCCTCAGCCTCCCAAAGGCCTAGGATTACACCCACACCCAGCACCCAGCCGTAGTGCATGTGTGTGTGTGTGTGTGTGTGTGCGTGCGTGCGTGTGCGCGCGCGCGTATTGTGGTGTGTGTGTGTGTGTGTGTGTGTGTGTGGTGCCAGGGATCGAACTCAGGACCTTGCATTTATGAGTCAGGTACGGTGCCACTGGCCCCTTAGTATATATTTTTAATAAATATATAATGTTTGCTTTTTGGTTGCTTCAGAAGTTAATTAATTTCTCTCCTATTGTTAGAAATTGGGTTTCTCTTGCCAGGCGTGGTGGTGCACGTCTGTAATCCCAGCACTCGGGAGGCTGAGGCAGGAGGATCGCTGAGTTTGAGACCAGCCTGGGCTACATAGTGAGTTCCAGGTCAGTCTCAACTACATAGTGAGACCCTGTCTCAAAAAACAAAATAGAAAAGAAAATGGGTTTCTCTTTACACAATCAAATGTATGTATGTTCCTGTGTGTGTTGCCACATATAGATGTTGGATACATTTTCAAAACGGAGTATGGGGGTCAAAATTTTAAACTGTAATGTCAAGTATTCTCTTGAATTTTCTCATGATGTTTTAAAAACAAATAGTGGACTAGTAGCATGGCTTAGTGGTGGAGTGCCTAGCATTCTAGGTAAATGCTGTACCACTTAGCTGTACCATAAGTCAAGTGGAGGCGAACCTATGGCACTTGTGCTGCAATGGGCCTGTTTGTATCATTGAGTGCTCTAAAAGATTCACCATCTCTGCTCTAGTCTGTTGTAATTTTTAAAAAATTTCTCTTTTTCACAAGCAATATTTAAAATGTGTCACCATATAAAATAGTAATTTCTTTTTTGTACCGGGAATCGAACCCAGGATCTTGCTCTTGCAAGGCAGGCAGCAGAACTACAGAGCTAAATCCCTGGCCCTAAAATAGTAATTTCTATATTTGCTTTTGAATTGCTTGAAAATTCCACATAAATATTAAAAGCCAAGAAGTTAGATTTAAAATTGTGAAATTAATGCTGATAGTCATAAAAATAGAATTTTTTAAACAAACTTATGAGATTAATAACAGTTAAATACAGCAATAGAACTGGATGTTTCCCTGTCTCCATCTGTACTCTCATGATATCTTGTTTTCATATCTCCTACTTCCCTGCTGCAGTGGTAATCTGCAACTCACAAGGGGCGTGTAATGCTATGGTTAACTGAGTCTTCTGGGTAACTCACAGTTAATCATTTTGCTCTGAAATTCAGTGTGTGTCTTAACTCTTGAGAGATTAACTTTATATTTCTAATTGTGTAAAATGTTCCTTTATGCTCATCTGTCTTAACCTTGACACAAAGCTTTCTCCCCACACACACACCCCATACATGTCGGGCTTTTTAAAATCTTAACAGCCATCAACACATATTACAACATTTTCATCATCTACACACCCTTTTCCCCATGAGATCGACCATTCTCTGGCAACCACAAATTCTACCTTCTGCCTTTGGCTGGCCTCTAATGACATTTCATGTAAGTAGAATCATACTGTGATCATTCGTGTCTGGTTTGTTTCACTCAGCACAATGTTCAATTCGTGTTATAGCTTGTTTCGTGTTTCATTCCTCTGGATTGTTACACAATACTCCATTGTGTGGATATATGCTGTATTTTGTTGATCCATTCAGTTGATGGGTTTGAAGATGTTTTTACTTTTTGGCTATTTTGAGTAGGGCTGCTGCAGACATTTATATGAATATGTTTTTGTATGGACATGTGTTTTCATTTCACAAATTCTGTTTTCTCTTGGTCCCTAACCATAGGAATTGAATGTTCGTAAAGTTACACTGTCTACGGATAAAAACAAGTACGGCATTCGGCTAAGGGCAGAGCCAGACCACATGGTCCTGGGAAAGCGTCTGAAGGGAGCCTTTAAATCAGTGATGACGGCCATCAAGCAGCTGAAGAGTGAGGAGCTGGAGCAGTTCCAGAAGACTGGTGGGTGTCTGTCACACAGGGTTGCCACTTGTGTCTTCAGGCCCAGAACTGTTGCATATTTAGGATCCTGGTGGAGTTTCACCATCACTTCCGTTTTCTTAAGTATAAACTGTTTCCTCTTCACAGAAATAACTAAATAATTCTGACCCCTAACCCTTCACGCATCCAATATGACATAGATGGTGTCTACTGTCTGCTGTTTAATATGCATTTCTACATGGTTTGATGCAGTGTAAAGATGCCAGCTTCTGTCACTCCAGCTATACAGGCATGGTGATCCGAATTTGAAGGTTTTTTTCCCCACCTTTTTGTATTTTGTATATTTTAGGAATTTTTCCTATTTTTTTATTCTGTGTTTTCACTCATTTCATTATAATTATTTTATACATTTATACTCAGAAATGCTGTTTCACAAGTTGGAAAATTTTTTGTGTGTATGCTTAATAATGTTTTTATCAGTCTTTTATTATTAGTGTTGTTTCCAGTCTTTTAATACCATACATAATACTGCAATGGATATTTTTGCACAGTGAGCATTCTGTAGAGTTGATTCTTTCACACTTGATAGCTAGATAGAAATCAGTCAGGTGGATGGATGGATGGATGGATGTACCTTAGGTTCCTTTTGAATTCTATAAGGGCAAATGTGGCCTGGACAGTTTGCCTTCCTATTGAGAGAAAACAGAATCCCTAGGGCTTCATGACGAAGGAATGCTATTCCCCAAAACATCCAGTTATTGCTTAAGGAAAGAAAAAGAATAACTTTTGGAAGGGTTAGAATGAAGATTGAAAATATTCAAATGAAAGGATTGAGGTGTTTCTTGAGGAAAGAAAGCATAAAAGTTAGGATCATCTTAACTACTAAGCACCTTCTCCTAAGGAGAAGTGGGTAGAACTTGTCAGAGTTTTTCTAAATATGTACAACCCATATCTTCTGTCTCATTTGAGCAAAGCTGAATTTGTTCCTTTATTATGTTTCCTTTGTTACTTTTATATTTTTAAAAGCTCAATATACAGTTGTATAAGACAGACTATCGCCGGGGATATAGCTTAGGGGCACAATGCCTGCCTGGCAAGTGTGAGGTCCTGAGTTTGATCCCTGGTACCAAAAAAAAAAAAATTACATTAAAAGACAGACTGGGTTGGGGATTTAGCTCAGTGGTGCTGCTGCCTGCCTCGTAAGTGGAAGGTCCTAAGTTTGATCCCTGGTACAAAAAGAAAGAGAAAGGAAGAAAGGACAGATTTTGTCATTATTCTCAGGTTGCTGACTGATATTTGAGGATTCGTGGAAATAATTAATCATCTACTCCATGTGTAAATGAGGACTCATTTCCTCTCAGTGCTCCACGTAGCTTTGGCATGACTTTGAAATGAGAATTTATGTAAACTGAGAGACACTGGTGGTGACCTGCCATCGAGGCAGCATGGTAAAGAATGTGAAGTCCTTCTATTCAGCAGTGACAGGAGTGTGGGGAAATGATGTCTTGTAGTTTCTGCAGCTCGGATGCTAGGAAATTCTCTTGAGAAGGGACATCAGGAGAACTGACGGAAATTGGCTTCTCTCACAGGGAGCATTGTTGTGGAAGGCCACGAACTGCATGCAGAAGACATCCGCCTTATGTACGCCTTTGACCAGACCACCGGAGGGACCACACAGTATGAAGCACATTCGGATGCTCAGGTATTTTTCTGTTCTGTAAAAGGTTCTTACAGAGAGATGGAAACAATAAGTATTTTACCCATGCCTGTCTAAAGTATATTGACAGCTTGTCTTAATGTAAAATAAACCATTATTCATTTTAGATTGGCTTTATTAAACTTCTCAATGACAGACCCTAACATATGCATAACTTTACTGCATATATAAATGAGCATTTTGTGATTTTTTTTTTTTTTTTTTTTTTTAACTG